AAAACATAATGTTTTAATATAAGTATATGCCATGCAATATTTGGGCCATACTTATACTAAAACATTATGATTGTAAATGTGAAATTCAAATTTAACTGGTGTCCTGTTTCATCTAGTAACCCTCCTGGGCAGCGTAAAAACTATCATGTAAGGGAAGGACTAGCTTTACATTTTTGTCTGTTTCCTGGGGCCTAGAGTAGGACCAGTGGGTAGTTAGGCCTGGGTCTGAGAGCAGGAAAAAGGATTTCACTGACAGGAGGCTCAAAGAAGGCCATAAGGAGCCTTTCTGGGTGGCTTGGAATTAGAAATCTTGAAGAGCCTTTCCAGTTCTGATAGTCTCGGAGCCTCATAATCTTCAAGGATTTTGAGAGAATGGGGTGGGCAGATGACAGAGGAGGATAGGACTGAAGACTAGAAGCCCCTAAACAGCCTTGACCATTTTTCTTTCTGGTGTTACGATGGTGAGATGCATGCCGATGCATCAACTGGCACGTGGACTTCTCTGTGCAGATGGGGAGTCAGAGCTTCTGCAATATTCCAAATGCTCACACTGTCATTGATTCTGCTCTTGAGTTTCTGATACCCTTTCTCCAAAGTAACACTGCTGGGAGACCCAGTTGAACTCTAGGTTTTCTTTCCTCAGTGCTCTGCCCTCCCCTCCTCATCCCCCTTCTTGATGAAAATGACAGCAGCAACCTACATGTAGACACCATTTCAAAGTTCACAGGGTGATTGGCCATCTGTTACTTGTGTGGATTCTCACACATCTGAGACGGAGTAATCATCTCCAAGTTACATTTGAAGAAACCAAGCCCCAGAGATTTGCCCCGTGACAGTCACACAGGTTGGGCCTCCGCCCCCTCAGGCATTTTTATAGCAAACATCATTGCATGCCTACTAAGTGATCCATATTAGAGGTTAGGCAAATGAGAACAGTATGACCCAGTATCACCCAGTTTCTGCTCCCAAAAGCCCCCAGACCGCGATTGGGGGGGTGAGAAATCAGGGTTGGGGAACAGATGCATACTGAGGCAGGAATAACAAAATCCAAGTCCTCAGGGCTGGCTTCATATGAATGAGGACTCCCTCTGTAGTGGCCCAGTAGAGGGGGTGACCACTCAACCTCCATCATTCTTCCTCTCCAATAACAGCTCTTCCTCTCTTTTCAGGCTGGCCATAATCTCCACTTACTCCCTTGGTGCTGGCCCCTGGAAGTGTCTCTGGGCCCCATGCAGTTGGACTAGGGCCTACTATAGCAGCTTCCCCTTGGCAGGGAAGTACAGATTCTTTCCCTGCTAGGCTCCCCCAGGGCCTTGCAGAAGCTTTCCCTCGCCTACCCCACCCTTTTGTCAAATATATATATTTTGTGGAATTCTCCATGGAAGCACATTAAAAGAGAATTGGTGCTCTTTTTTAAGTGGGAGCTGGCAAGCCCAGAGTCCTCTGCTCAGACCTACTGTGGTTATACCTGGAGTGTGTCTCTGAAAGCCCAGGGCCAGCAGATCACACTTCAGAAATAGCAGTGAACTTTACTAGCCATCACAGGGCGTGCTTGTCCTGCAGGCCCCTCTCACGAATGGTGGCCCAAATTAAGCTTATAATTTCCTCTACCACCCTGCAAGAAGTGCTCCTCCACTCAGGGACCAAGTCAGAATCTTGGCTGTGGCTCCTCTCCCCACTCACCTTCACACCAGTTAAGCAGGCTAAACTATTTCTTGTTTGCAAGAATCTTCTCTATTCCTCACCATTCACCTGTATTCAATATTTATAGAGCTCTGTTTTATAGAGCTCTGTTCTATTATAGGGGATAATCTCAGAAAGTTTCCTGAACAAGAGCCTGGATAAGGAGTGGGCTACCTCTATCCCAAACAGTCAAGTCAGTCTAATGGGAGATGGAGCTGGGCCAGTAGGCCTTTCTGTGCTGGGGAAAGTCTCATCAGCCCCTCCACTGACTTTGTGTGGACGTGGAGCTTGTCTTGCAGCTAGGTGCTAAGAAAGGAGAAAAGGGTGATCCTGTGTGTCAGTCATGAAGGCAGCTGACAGTTACACTGCGATTGAAAGTTATCCTCATGTGGCACTTGGCACAAATCACCATT